TTTTTTTTTTTTTTGGTTCCTGGGATCAAGCTCCAGACCCCACACTTGCTAGGTAGGCGCTGTGCTGCTGAACTATATCCTCAGCCTTGTATGTACACTTGAAACAAAAATAAGACTGGAACAACTGATGTAGACAAAAAAAAATACACAACCATTTTATTTCCCAAGCAGAGCCTTAAAATAAGCTACTAATCATTATCAAACCATAAGCATTTTATCATAACAGAAAATATTTTTTTTCTAAAGTGGGGAAAAATCCCTTATCATATACATAAAGTCATAGTTTCTTTTATGTTTCTTAGTTTCCAAGATTAAATTGGTATTCAACACATCTCTTTTTTTATCCGAGAATCTCCCCCAAAGAGTTCTTTAGCCTTATACCCTTGCCATTTCATAATAAAGTGCTACACCAAGATGTAAAGGCATATTTATCTTACATACTACTCACTTAAATGTCTCCTGTATAAGGTAGACTTAAAGTCTTAAGGAATGGGAAGTTGCCATAAATTTCAGTATTTGATAGGATGCTTTTTTGAAAAGCTCGCTTTCTTACAATAGTGCCTGTGTGATCCCTCTATTAGAATGTTTAGCTCACTCTGGAGAGTGTTGTCTATTCATCCTGAAAATATCAGCTCAAAGATTAGCCTTTTTCTAAATTTGTGCTTTCCTCCCAGATCCTTCACTTTTCTGGCCAGAGATTCTCTATTTTCTCATAATATTTCTGTAAGAGAATTCATCACATTGTGCTTTCTTTTCATAAATAAGTGGTATCAACACCCTTTTGGTGGCACTCAAGTGGATAAGCACAGGGAAGCTAGGGTCTAATAACACACATAATGTGCTCCAGAGAGTTTAGCTGCCCACGTCCTTATTGCTGTTGGGATAGTGGATGCAATGCAGCAGCACCATGACTGAAACTACTTGTTCCCTCTCTCTCCTCTTAGGCCAAGACTCCTTCAAACCCAGACTTCTCACCTAGGTAAGGCTGGGAATCGGGGGATGGGGGCACATAGGGGAAGACCACTTGTCTCTGGCTCTGCACAGTCATAAGAGTGAGCTCAGACAACAGGCTTTGTTTTCAGCATCTGCTTGATGCTCGAAACCCAAGGTGCAAAAATATTTCAAATGCCTTGACAAGTGAGGAAAAAAAAAAAGTACAGTACAGTGCCTACTTTAAACAGCCAGATTCTGAGTTATTACTAGAAACAATAGAACTATGGGTGACAAATTGGTTAGAATGAGAAATGAGGATTTCAGTTTCTCCTGAGTGGGCTTCTCGTGTCACTGTACCCCTTCTGAGTCTTTACTGTGCTCCCAAGTAAAAGCCTTCTTACAGGTTAGGTGTTAAGGCTACCTACAGTCACAGGCCTTGTGATAAAGCTAAGTGCCAAAAGCATGGAACTTAATCCTCAATATCTGCACTTTTGTTAAGTTCACTTCCAATTTAGAAAATTTCACCATTTTTTAAATTTCTGTTTCATCAATATATTTCACTGTTCTGATAAAAAAAAAAAATAAGTTGCTGGCCAGAATTGAATTCAGAGGGGCTCCTTTTTTGAATTTGAAATTTCTATGAGAAAAAAAATATTTTCTGTTATGTTAAAATGCTTATGCTTTGATCATGATTAGTAGCTTATTTTAGGGCTCTGCTTGGGAAATAAAATGGTTGTGTATTTTTTTGTCTACATCAGTTGTTCGAGTCTTATTTTTGTTTCAAGCACTCAAGGATTTATTTTGTTTCAGTACAAAATATATAACTTATATATTCTTTTAATCTTCAAGGAAAAGAGACTCTGGCTTATACCTCCCTGTAGTCAAACTTTCTGTACATGGATTATGGTAACAGTTTATATGAGATGGAGGGTAAACACATGTGAAAAGTAAACACTCTCACAAAGTCTTAAAAATCATAAACATGCTTTAAGATGTTTATTAGTCTACTTAAATACAATGTTCATTTACATATTTCTTCATAACTCTGGTTTAAAAAATTGCATATACATAAAAAGCAATGAGACAGAATCCAGGAATAAAGATTCCCATCGTGTACGGATCTTTTGTTAGTAATTACACAATAAATTAAAGAATGAGTCCCTATGAAAAGTGGAAAACCTGTGAAGGTTAAGAATCTGACTACCTTTAACAGAGGGAGATTTAAACTCTTTGTATAATAAAATGCCAGTCGATTCTGAGAGTATTCTATGGGCTTGCTAGTCTACCCCAGGGAATTGCTTGAAATGATGTATTTTGGTGTGTCAATGAACTTGCCAAATGTGCTTTTCAAAGACAGAAATGATACTGAAATTATTACATCTATATTTGGTAGCAGCTCTCCTACTGTGGAAAGACACTTGAACAATTCAGATCCAATTTAGATCAGGTCAGCAGCTGGTTTTACTCTTCACAGCTAATGTTTCATTTTCTTCAGTCGAGTGAGTTACGTATTTGCTGCCGTGGCCTTGGACATGAGAGCTGTGGTATCCACTTGAATAAGAAACACCAGCAGATGGGTTTAGCACAGCTCTGGGTGTGTCTGGATGACCAACCTACTGAGGCAGGGAGCCCTACTGTGGGTGTGATGCCAACCAATAAGCTGGCAGCCTGGGCGGAGTAAAAAGGAAAGAAGAAGGAAGTCTTGCTTTGGCTCCTTCCAAGGAGCTTCTGTCTTTGCCGCTGCCTTTGAACATCTGTCTCCAAGCTCCCTCGCAGACTCTTCAGCCTGCCAGCGCAGATGCTTGGGCCTCCTAATGTGAATTCCTGTAGGACTCTGCAGTGAGCTCCAGGCCTGGGACCTGTGACTGCAGCCTCTGTTTCTCCAGCACACAGACAGCCCCTTTGCCCTCTTCCACATCTGACTCTAGAGGCAGCCACTGAACACCTACCTCGTAAATCCTTTATGTATACATATACATAGAATCTGTTCCTCTAATGAAACCTAACTGACAGTAGGCGTTGGGTAATACTATGCCTCTAAAAATCTTTGTCTAAATGATACAGAATATAATGTACGGAGTAACAAATTTAGGGAAAATATAAATAGAAGAATGAGAGCAAAGCAAAATTGGAAACAAGCAGCAAAGGATCCAGTTCATCCCTAAAAATCAAAACAAAACCACAAAAATATCACTTCAGGGATCTGACATTATATTTACACTTGATATACAAATTTTAGGGTATCCACGTTCAGAGACAGAGTTGAAAAACAGGAAAAGAGAGAGTGATTGTAAATTCTGTGAAATAAGCAGTATGGCTGTCATGTTTTCTCATCAGCAGTTTTAATGTGTTTCCTGTAGACAAAGTTGTATGAGGTACACTGCTTACATTAGCAAAAACAGAGAACTTATGTCCCAACTATAGGCTTTATTACCAAACATTCATTTGAGAATTTACAAGCATAAGTGATTAAAAGCAATCTAAGAAAGAATATATAGCATGAGGAACTGCCCAAATATATGTTTTGAGACAGGGACTTGCTATGTAGTTCAGGCTGGTCTTATTATACTCACTAAGTAGCCTAGACTGGCCTCAAAAATCACAGCGATCCTCCTGCACCAGCCTCCTGAGTGCTGGGATTACAGATGTGTGCTACCCAGCTCCAAATATTTTTGTTCTACCCTGCAGAATTGCCAGAAAATAAAAAGGCATCAATCCTGTAATTAAGTATAGAATTTAAAATAAAGTTTAACTGCAGTATGGACAGTAAAGCAAAAGGGTTGCTTCGTTACTTTAGGGTGAGTACTGCAATTAATTACTTCATAGATTTATTTTAATTAACTCACTAAATTAATTATGGCGCACATGTAATATAACATTGTTTTTTGTTTTTTTGGTACTGGGATCAAACTAAGGTCCTTGCACTGGTAAGGCAAGCAGCAGAACCACTGAGCTAAATCCCTGGCCCAACACTGTATTTTAAATAATTCCTTATAACACATTTTCACGGGTAGCTATTTTACATATATTTAACTTAAAAATAAACATATAAACATTGCTTCATAAAAGAGCCACTTCAAAGAGTAGAAGTTTCCTTTTCAATATAAACATTTTAAAAGAATTATTTACAAGGAACAATTTTCCCACCCATTTAAAAAATTTCTGACATCCCACTTATTCAACAGATGTTCTTCTCATTTTTTCAGCTAATTCTTGTCGCATTTCAATGTGTTTTTCTAAATTTTGCACTTCATGGGGAAGATTGATGTCCCAAACTGACAAACAAGATTGTATCTCTAGAAAAAGAAAAAAATAGACTGTTTCAATGATCCACCATAAAGCTTTTTTATTTTATTTCAATTTTGTTAATTTATATGTAATTGTTTTAGACAGGTGTATATATATATATATATATATATATATA